AACACTTGAGGCAGATTTTAGGACCCGCGCTGGCTTTGCCCTTAGACCTATCTCTCGAGTCTGCTCTCATAACAACATTAATAACTTTTTCAGATAAAGGTTGTTGCAACTTATCATTTTCCTCATCTGTAACTAGATCAGAGTCAGACCAAAAATCATGTCCTAAATGAATATGATCTTTAGCTTCAAAGCCAAAAAGATTTTTTGTAAAGAAGAAGTAGCAACTTCCAACATTTGGTGGGTAGAATAGACAGAGCTGTCATCACCAATCAGCACAACCAGATGGTTCATTCTATGATGTTGATTAGCTAACCCATGGAAATAAGAATTGTTCCTACCCCCCAACACAAATTTCCTATCCCTAGATCTTTGCCATAAGGCGGTTTCATCTTTTTTCGAATATAATCCAGTTCCTTTTAAATATCATTCATACATTTTTTATCATCATCTGAAAGTTTATTTTCCTTAGAAAAGACATCAAGAATGTCAGACTCCACAAGGAGATCGCGTTTCTTTTTCTCAAGATCAGCTTCCAAATTAATGCTCCAACCTCTCAATTTTTTTCCTGAACAGCCTAGTCAAATTAATGTGCCGTCCTTGCCGATCTAACCATGTAACTCTCCAAGAGGACGTGTGCATTCAAACTGAATGAAAAGGTGATTTGTTTTACTTCATCAGTTAACCATGAATCTTCGATCTTTACTGGTATGACTTGATAATTCCACTAGAGTAGACAACCGTCAGATCATGGCGATGAGAGCAGCTAGCAGCCCGCGTCATAAGAAAAGCACTAGACTTTGTTGCGCCGTCTTCCTTGAGTTGATCGAGAGCATGTGGCTGGGCAGTCGAACACACAGGTGGTGTGCGATCATGAAAACCATAGGAGAGGAGTAAAGAAGAAGACTTACAGTAGGGAAGTGAAGTGAAGTGAGTGCCTTGCTCGATGATGCAGCAGAGGCGGATCCAGTGGGGGTGCCCTGGGCCTGGGTCCAAAATTGTAAAATGAATTTTACTATATACTCCCAAGTTGTTGCTAGTTTAAGACTATTTGTTGAGATTATGATGATGCTTAGTGTAAACTTTGAACCGTGGCACCCCCAAGCATGTGATTCTAGTTCCGCCACTGGATGCAGCCGTGGTAGCGGTCGCTCGTTCACAAAGCAGAGAACTTGCACAAGTCGTCCGTCAGAAAGGCGAACACAGCTAGCCCCTGCCATGCCATGGGAACTGCCGGGCAACTCTTGGCAGCAACAAGTCAAGCCGGCAGCAGGTGTGTGTGTACAGCTGCCAGCCTACCATAACGAGTCAATCTGTGCACAAAAATATATATAATGGGTCAAGAGGTTACTGAATCAATGGTGTATAAAAAAAAGGCTTAGAGCAGCCAGGCGCAGGGGACAAGTCCAAAGCTGACCTGAGCTGCTGGCTAACCAGCAAGAGAGAACGACACAGCTAACTAGCTAGCTGCCATGGACGCGGCGGGCGGCTCGCACTGGGGCGACTCGTCGGGGCTATCCTCCCCCTCCTCCTCCTCCGGCGGCAGCGAGCAGGTGTACGTGGCGGTGGGCGGGTCCAAGGCGATGGTGCTGTGGGCACTGCACAAGTTCCCCAAAGACACCGCCTTTGTGCTGCTCCATGTCTGCCCCCAGCACAAGCTCATCCCTATCAGTGCGCCTCATCCCCTCCTCTTTCACTTCTCTTCTTTCTTTTCTTTCCTTTTTGTTTTAATTTGGATTAGAAGTTCTTCTATTCTTCATGATATTAGTATATTCCCCATTTCAAAAAGAAGTTCTTCTATGCAGCTTTGTAGTTTCATTACCTACTAGTACTTCAATAGAGTGAACAGCATAAACAAGACATGAGTCATTATTACCCTGACATGATTGCAAAATAGTTTTAGCATATTTTGGATGCGATGCAATCAGATCAACTAAAATCCTGCAGGATTCGAATAGC